CGTTGGAGCAGCCTTAATCTAACTTTGTTGAACATATGACTGTTTTACTCTATTTCTGCTAAATTGTTCAGTTAATCTCTGGAATAAATACCTGCAGTGAGTGGCCATTCATGAAGTAGCTCTGTTCGAGTTATTCTTGCATTATATTGAACGTAAATCTACCTTCCTGTAATTTCCATTCACTGTTCAACCAGTATTTAACTTGTGCAAAGTAGAACGAACTGTCAGCTCATTTTAGACATTTATGTCAATGTAGCCTGAGATTGTTTGCTTTGGGGGAAGCCCCATTGTACTAGTGATGCACTGAACTTTTAACTGAAAAGTAAACAAAAAACTTAAGTACATAACTAAAAGCTAAAGTTTTGGTCAAGGAAGGAAAATTGGGTGATAACTTTGGTTGATAACGGTTTTCTTGAAAAGTAGTTTTGAAATTGAGGAAATCTGAGCATATTGTAGAATATGAAGCCCAGTGGGACTTTCTTTTCTGTCTCGTGTGTATGTGTGTACTTTCTTCCTCACCTCCACTCCCCTCTCAATGGGGATTGAGATTCAGAAAAAATGGTGACGGTTTATGTAGAGCAATTTCCCATGAACGCTGGAGTAGATGTGCTTCAGGAATTAGTCTAGGCCCAAGTGGAGAGGAAATATTTTTAAGAAATAAGAATGACTAAAAGGATATTGATGAAGATACACAGGGATTTTAAGTGGGATAGGCAGAGTTGGAGAGTAGAATGATCTCTGAAGTAGTTGAGGCTCTAAATAGTGAGGGAAGCTGGATATAATTATGTTCGTATCTCCATGAATAAATGGGTTGATACTGTTTTTAGTTGACAAGGAAAAGAGTAAATTTTGTGTTATGCATCCCAATATGACAGCAATCTCCACATTTTCCAGTATTATTGGGGAAAGTGGCGTTTAATACATGGAATTACACTTTCTCTGAAAAAGATGTTAGATGATAATTGGCTTTTTTCTTGGAAAGTGCTGGAGGCTAACAACCTGAAGATTCTTTTTGTATATAAGTATCCTTTAACCTTGGCTGTCTTTGTTGAACTGTGTAGTCTCGTAGGCTTGACCAGAGATCACTTCTCAGTTTGTAAATTAGGAAATGGAGATCCAAAAACGTCATGACTTTTTCATGGTCTTAGATAGTTAAAACCTTTTTCTCATTCCCATGTTCTGAGATTTGTTTTGATAATTTATTTTGAAAGAAGTAGAAGGACCCACATCCCAGAAATTGCTTACCTATGATTTGGGTACTTTGCTGTGAATAATAAAAGTGGCACAGTTCTTCTAGTAATCACATTTATTCTGAATGTGTAATTTGGCTCTTCTTTTGTTCTTTCTCTCAACCTTCCTATATACACTGTGCATGAATTATAAACGCAAATTGTATATTACTCAGTTTTCCAAGTCTTATTTTCTACAACTACCCACACTGCCTTGTTTGGTGGTCCATCTGTAATTTATCCCTAATCCTTCTTTGATGCATTCCTTATTTATTGAACTGTTAATTTTTCTACTCTGGTGGAGAGGATGGGCAAGATGGCAGTTGTTTGTGTGGAACACACAAATTCATCTGTCATTAAGAAAATAGATAAGTCAGTGAGGTTGCTTTTTTTCCCCCTCTCTAATACCTTTACAGTCATGTGTCATTAGGCGATTTCATTGTGTGAACATCGTGGAGTGTTCTTACACAAAACCTAGATGGTATAGCCTAGGCTATATGGTACTAATCTTATGGGACCTCTGTCGTTGGCCAGAACCTCATTATGTGGTGCATGACTGTACTTTCTTGTTGATACAGTTGATTTCCATCAATTAGTTGTATTTCAGCCCTCTAAATTCTGAGTCACTTTAAATCAGAGTTATGGTAACGAAGTAATTGATCTGTAAATTATTTTTAAGTCAGTATAATTTAGTTGAAACACCATCCATCCGGTGAGTAACATCATTTTGTTTTATCATTTCCTGTGGGAGCCTCCTTGCACCTTAAAAAAGTGGACCCTGCATAGCCTCTTACGTAGAGCTACTTGTTTATGCTTTTCATATTAGCATTGCCTTATCTCATTCACCATTTGGAGTTCACTTTTCAAGTTACCTCCTTTGAATAAATAATAATTTATTGAATAATAGTCAAGTAAAAGTTACCTCCACTGCCTGTCTCCTGTGCCTGACTCTCTGTCTAAATTGGTGATATCATAGCCATAATACTTTAGTGACTTGTATAGGCATTGGGCAATTTGAAGCCTCTCTTGAACTTTGTTGCAATAACTCTTTGGTATATTTTGCCCTTTATTTATATTGATATGTATATTTGGTACCTTTTTTTGCTTTGGTTATATGTAAGTGACAAAAATGGTAGATGAATATTTACTTTGTAAACGTGATGGGAGGTTTGGGATAAATGACAAAGTGTGTCACTGTAGAAAATCTGGAAATATGGAGGAGAAAGAAGAAAAAATAAGAATCCCCAAACCCAGAAACTGTCCTAATAGCATTTCTGTCATTAACCATTTGAACAGAACTATTTTGTACATAATTATTTTATTCAGAGGGTAAGTTAGTATCTTCCTATGTTAGTATCTTCCTGTGTCTTAGTATTATTTTAACATCAGTTGTTACAGTATTAAAGTGTGTATAATTTCCACATTTTAGTTATTTTATAAAATTTTACTAGAAAAGTCTGTTGTTCACCCTTCCCCATCTTTCAAAGTAGTAATATTATGTTGCTTAACTTTATTTTTTAAATATAGCAAATGAGGGTCCTTTTATGCATTAGAGTGTGTTAAATCCTTATCGTTGGAAGTTTTTAGGTTTGGCAGAAACTGATGGCACCTGAAATGATAGTATCTGCTTCTGCTTTGTGAGTTAACGTTTTTTTTTAATGAGTTGATTTAATTGTAGATGGCACAGAATTCAAGGTAGAACAAAGACTGAAGAGCAGATTGGCAGGATTCTGGGCTGGGTTTATTCTGGTCTCAGAGTTAAGTAGAAATAGCTGAGTGAAAAGAACTGAAGAGATGAGCCACTGTATCAACAATTTTTTTTTTTTTTTTACAGAGTTTATTCTTAAATATGCAACAGGCTCCAAGACAACACTTCCTTCTATCTATAGGTGGCAACAGATTAGTTATGGCAGAGAATCCAGATGTTTAAACAGGAATGGAAGTAAGGGTCATCATCGCATGAGGCGTAAGGGGCAGCTTACTTTTTGCCAGATTTCTTAATTCCGTCTGTGGCCAGGGGACCCTTCCCCATGGCCTTCACTTTTAGCTCCTCCAGCTTCTTCTGCTCCTCTCTGTTTCTTCTTGAAAGCCTTATCTTCCTCTTCCATCTCCTTGGCCTGCTTCTTGGGTTCTTCAGGGGCTGCTTCTTGTCACTGCCCCTTCCCCAGACCCTGCCACTGGAAGCAATGAATTAACTATTTTTGAAAGCAAGTGAGGTATTATATAAAAATCTAAACAGATTTTGGGGGTTTTTGTAGACTGAGAGTTCGGGACAGTTGCAAAAGGAGAAAGAGGGAACCTAATAGAGCGTTACGTAAAAGTAGAATTGGAGCCACTAGAATTGTATAGAGCTACAAACTTATCTGTAGGCTCCACAATGGTTGGTACCTGATTTTTATTAAAAACAGTATCATAACTGTAATGATTATGGCAGGCTGTCTTTGGCTATAAAAATTTTTGTTTAAAGGAAACCTGCATTGAAATTTATTTGTTAAACAGGGATTTAAACTGCTTTCTGATTTGCCCAGTAGATACACTCATCTTTAGATATTATGAGGGTTTTTTTTTTTTGGTACTTTTTAGTATAACAGGAAAGATGCTTGATTTATATAAACAAGTAATATTCAGATCTTCTTTTTTTCCTCTCCTTTCTCTCCAATTTCTAATGTTATAATTTTGACTGTTGTGGGGGCTATAAACATATAAATCATGTACTTTAAATGATGAGAGGTTGTGTTTCTATTTTAATTTTGTGCTTGTTTTTCTTAACCTTGTCTTTGAGATTTCAGTTTAGAGGTACTTGATCATAGCACATCTAACCCATCCTGTTTCCTGTTTGTTTATATACCGTGAAAGAGTATAAACTCCTTGAGGGCTAGAGTCTTATCTTGTTCACCAGGGTATCCCATTTACTATAAACAGTACCTGGAATGTAGTTAGATGCCTAATTAATAGAAAGAAAGATTGGAAAGACATGCACCAAGTATAAAAAACTATTATCTCTGAGTACTGAGGTTATTGCTGATTTTTAATGGTAGTCATTATCATTTTGAAAATAGTAAACTTAATCCCTAGAAGGAGAGAGAAAGCAAAGAAGACCTACAAGTCAAAGTACTTTTTCCCATGATAAGTATAATCTCCAAGTCCTGATTTCTGCCCTCTGCCTAGTTTTATTTTTATTTTTATTTTTTTAATTTATTTATTCCCCCAAAGCCCCAGTAGATAGTTGTATGTCATAGCTGCACATCCTTCTAGTTGCTGTATGTGGGACGCGGCCCCAGCATGGCCAGAGAAGCGGTGCGTCGGTGCGTGCCTGGGTCCCGAACCCCGGCCACCAGCAACAGAGCGCACGCACTTAACCGCTAAGCCAGGGTGCCGGCCCTCTCTGCCTAGTTGTAAAAAATCATTGGAATCCAAGAATGTGGGAGATAATGGTCCTTAAAGGACAAAGATACTGTGAATGGAAAGACTTGGTTATGGTGTTTGTAGTCTGAGGCAGCATTGGACTCACTGGGGAATAAGAGAGAGAATTGTGCTACTTTCCTCTGTTTGAGGGACAGGGAGATCAAGAAATAGAGACAAAGGGGAGGTGCAAGTGTTAGAGGTCACCAGTAGTTGTCGGGAATTTTTTATTTTGCTGTTGCAAACTATGTTTTAATAAATGGTATTCATTTTCTTTATTCCCATTTATATGGTTAAGAAAATTTACTTCATGGAAGTTTTACAAAGATGACTTTTTAATAGCTGTTCTTCTTGTGTTTGCTCCCTTAGCATTTGACATTGTGCAGCAAAGAAATGGTTATGGAGAAGCCCAGTCCGCTGCTTGTAGGGCGGGAGTTTGTGAGGCAATATTATACTTTGCTGAATAAAGCTCCAGAATATTTACACAGGTAAATTTTAAATGGATTATTTAGTAGTTTTATTCAGTTTATTTTCTTGAACATGACTGCATATATTTTGTCTTTCTTTTCTTCTCATGTCCTGACACTGTCCCATTATATAACACATTCACATCTATACACACACGTATACAATTATACACTCTGGTATTCTGTATTTCATTAAAAACAAAAACAAAACCTTGGGCTTGACCAACTAATGGGTTTCCTGTCGGCAATTTGAAATCACAGGCTTAAGTCATCTTTCTAAGTTCTCTATAGCAGTGTTAGGAAATGAATCAGTTAAGTGATTATACTTATGAAAATTTCCTCTGATTGATCTGCAAAATAGTATTCCTTGGTAAAACAACAACAGTAGTCTTGTTTACTATTTTGGCAAGAGTTAGACATCTGTAAGCCTACGTTTTGCCGAGATGAAATGAAATTTATATTGTGAATAGTGTTTATAATTTTTGTTATTCCCGGTGTATTTTAGCAGGTGGAATATGAGTGAGACTTCTGTAATGATAAGGCTTTGCAAGTATTTGTTGTAGAACACCCTAGCCAAGTGAGTTAAGGATAAATATATCATTGCCACTTCATGTGAGAAAGGCTGTTAAAAGGACTTACATTCTTTTATCTATAGGTACTCTTTATAAGCATGCTGGGCATTCTAAAGTTATATTTTATAATATGCCCTACATTGTTAAACGTGTGTAATATTCTCTACATTGTTCCAGGAGGCATTTTTTTCTATAACTAACACTCCCTCCCCGTCCAAAAAACAAACAAACAAAATGAATACCTGTACATTTTCCTAATTATAAAAATAAAGACATTCTTGTTGACAGTGTATGTGAGAGAGTTTGCAAGGGAGAATGTAATTAATAGGGCATTATCTGAAATTTAGTCTTTTCACAATGTATCTATTAACATTTTTAGCGTTTTTTATAACAAGAAACTTTTTTTGGTAGTGACCAAAAAAAGTAAAATTTAAAAGAATAAGGCTCTCCACCATCATTTCAAATAACACCCACAAACTTCTATTTTATACTTGGCTCGTGTAACCAATTTCCTTATTAATGAAAATTTAGTTTGTAATTTTTCACTTGTTAACACTGTAATGAATATCCTTACACATGCATTTCTGTGCACCTTTCTAGGTATTTTCTTAGGGTAGGTTCTTAGAAGTAGAATTGTTAAATCAAAGGCATGATCGTTAGCGGTTTTTCTTACACATACAGCCAAATTGTCCTCCACAAAAATGATAGCAGTTTACATGCTTACCAGCAGTACGTGAAAGAAAATAGTATAAACTTAAAAATAAGAGTAGCGGTGAAAAGCATGGACTCTGGAGCCAGACTGTCTGGTTTCATATCTTAGCTGCCCTCCTTGATAGGTGGGTGACCTAAAGGGAGTTAATTTAACCTCCTCTGAACCTCAGTTTGCTCATTTAGATAATAGTGCTTATTTTATGAGGTTGTTAGGAGGGTTAAACAAATCAATGTATATAATGCACTGAGAACGTTGCTAGGCATAGAGGAAGTCTTACGTGTTTTATTACGATAGGAGCTGAATTCTCTTTATGAAAAAATTAACTTTGCACGTTTGCTAACCTTAACTGGGAAAGCTGTTGATTCTAATTGCTTTAGGTAATGCCAGAGAAACACTAATTTATCATGTACTTAAGAGCGGTATAAAAATTAATGAGAAATTAGATGCTGAAATAATGTAGATCTTTTTATTTGTCTCTGAATTATTTCAGTTGTTTAAAATCTAAACTGTTTTAATCTATGCCTTTGGAATTAGTAATTGTTTGGAACTCTGAGTAGAATGTTAAACAGCATCTGATTCCCAAACAATTCTAGATAACTGAGTTTTTGTATCTGAAGGGGAAAAATGGGTCAGTTACTCGGCATCAGTATTTAGAATGTATTTTGAACGTCTCGTTCTTCCACTTAACAAAAAAAATAGATGTGATAAGAATTAGATGAGAATAGCTATTGATTTGAGTGTATGTTTAGTGTGCTAGGCACGCTAAGAATTCTATGCCATTACTCATTTAATCTGTACAACAGCCCTATGGAGTAGTTACTGTTGTTCTGTTTTATAACCAAGGAAATTAAATTTAAAGACCATAAGTAACTTGCTCAAGATTACACAATTAATGAGTGACAGAGCCAGACCTGGAAACTGGGTCTGTTTGACATCAGAACTCTACTGTCTCTTAGACTTCTCTTGACAGTTGAATGTTAATTGTTTTCAATGGTTTTACAGGTTTTATGGCAGGAATTCTTCCTACGTTCATGGTGGAGTAGATGCTAGTGGAAAGCCCCAGGAGGCTGTTTATGGCCAAAATGTAAGTATCAATTTCATATACATTTTAGATTTTTTTTCTTCTCTGCATTAAGATAGAGATTTGAAAAAAGCCTTCTTGTGTCCATGGATTTCTTCTTGAATGTGATCATTAGTTGTGACTAGAATTTATGGTATAACAATTGTCGAATGTGCTTTGAGTTCATATGAACATCCATTTTGTATGAAACACAGTATCACAGGGGTGCATACAAAAGAGAAGATGGGATATTTTATATCCTTGATGTATTTTATACATGAAACAGTTGAGACACTGTATTAAGTTTATACAAATGTGGGCTACACCTTATGTTACAGGAATGCACAGAAATAAATGCTCCTTATGACTTGGTAGAGGATGTGGGACCTCGGCTCAACTCTAAATTACAGGATTTGGCCTTAGCAAACAAGAGGAAATTGAAAGTAGAAGAAATGGCATCAGCAAACACACAATAAAGTAAAATTAGGTCTGAGGTCAAGGAGTAGTCAACACAGTTTGTGTGAATGACTAAATACTTAATACAGAATAGTGGGAGAAGGCTGTATAAAGCCCATATTGCTGCATAATATGAGAAAGCCATTGTGATTTCTTGTGTAGAGAGATGACGTGTTGAAAATGGCGGTTTAGGAACATCAATCTGACGTAGTAATATGTAGCATGGTGGAGTGGATTCAAATGAGGCAGAAAGATTAAGTAGTTAACATTCTAGAGTTGTGAGGAAATCAGTGAAGGTTTGTGGTATTGTATAGGTAATATATTATCACAAGAGTTTGTATTTCCTCCCCCCCTTCTTTTCCTAATAAAGGATATACACCACAAAGTATTATCTCTGAACTTCAGTGAATGTCATACTAAAATTCGTCATGTGGATGCTCATGCAACCTTGAGTGATGGAGTAGTTGTCCAGGTCATGGGTTTGCTTTCTAACAGTGGACAGCCAGAGAGGAAGTTTATGCAAACCTTTGTTTTGGCTCCTGAAGTAAGTTTTCATTTCATGTAATTTTCACTCATATGATTTTATTTGGCTGTTATTAGTTGCTTGAAGTGTCCAAAGAGTTTTTTCTTACAGATTTAGATATGCATGTAGCTATTTTTGAGAAATTTGTATTGGACCTGTTGATATAGTTGGAGTTTTGTGTGTGTACACACTCTGACTGTTTAAAAGTAAAAGTCAGGGGCTTGCTCCAGGGCTTAGTGGTTAAGTTCAGCACATTCTGCTTTGGTGTCCTGGGTTTGGTTCCCATGGCCATGTTGTGGTGCCATGTTCCTGCCATTCTGTGGTGGCAACCCACATACAAAATAGAGGAAGATGGGCATAGATGTTAGCTCAGGGCAAATCTTCCTCAGCAAAAAAAGCAAAAAAAAAAGTAAAAGTCAGATACTGATGCAAATGTGTAAATAGATGATTAAGATTACAGAAATAAAACAGAAAAGTATATTTTATAGGTTCCATATTAAACAAAATGGAAAACTTCCATCTGTTAATTAGTCCTGGTTCTCTTATTGAGAAAATTATATTGAGTCTACGTTATTTCTGTAGTAGTAAAATAGAAATTGTGTATGCCATCTAATTTGCTCTTTTATGTAATGCCACATTTATGGGTATTTATGGAATATTTGGATGTTGTTTTTCTATAGGGATCTGTTCCAAATAAGTTTTATGTTCACAATGATATGTTTCGTTATGAAGATGAAGTATTTGGTGATTCTGAACCAGAACTTGATGAAGGTGAGGTTACTTTCAAGATAGAAAGGGTTCTGTCAGTACTCTTTAAGGATATGAAAAGTATGAAACTTACAGACATTTGCCTCTAGTGTAACTGAGTCAAGCCCCCTTTTCTCCTTTTTTGTTCTTTTGTTATAAAGGAAAGAGACATTCATTATATGAAATTATATAAAAATCAGATATAGAAAGTGAAAAAATTCCCCTCAATCTCATCCTCTATAGATAGCCAAGAGTTTGGTGCCTATTATAATTTAGTGGAATCTTATACTTACCAATACTTAATTTTATAAAAAAGGAATTATGCTGGCTCAAAGCTTGCTTTTTTTCACGTTGGCTATCAAATTTTTGGCTATACCATAATTATTTAATTGATCTTCCTTTGATATCAATTTTTTTCCTTTATCATTATTGCTCTATTGAATAGATGTGACAAAGGAAACTGAGTTATGGCTTTAATATTTATTTCCTACCCTTTCTTTACTAATAGATCTTTTTTTAAAATAGAGTAAATACCAAACTTCATCTTGCTTGCTCTTCAGTTTTTTTGAGAGAACAAAATATTGCAATTGAATGCATTTGTAAGGAGTATGTCAATTTTATTTTTTTACCATCACTTCCTTAAACATTAAAAATATGTATATCAAATTGTGTGTTAAGCCTCTTAAAAAGAGTTGTGATGTATTATGTATTGTCAGAATCAGAAGATGAAGTAGAAGAGGAACAAGAAGAAAGGCAACCATCTCCAGAACCTGTGCAAGAAAATGCTAACAGTGGTTACTATGAAGCTCACCCTGTGACGTAAGAATAAGATGTGCAACGCCAAAGTTGGTCAAAACTCATATAGTTGTGAAGTGGTTTTTGTTCCTAGAATTCTTGTTGGCAGTAAATTTTTGATAAAGCTACCTCTCGGGCCAGTATTTGAGTACTTGCTATGTATATCCAAGAAATTTGGAAAGAATTGTTTTATTTAATTCAAAACTTAAACATGATTTAGCCCAAAACAGTGATCACTTACTGAATAATGTGGAGTGTTTGGGACAACACAGAGAATGAATGTTTTATTTTTGTAAATATGGAGTTTGTTTATAGTTAGTACTAAAGTAAACATTTTTAGTAATCCAGTTTTAAAATGGTAGGGTTAAGGAAATGCTGCTTCTTGAGAGTATTATTCCCTTCTGCCTTCTAGTTCTTATTGGACTTTTGCTTCAAAACAGCTTATTATTAGTTATGCCTATTGGGTTAGAGAAATACTGAATTTTATTTGAACTGATCATTTCACTCATACTGAAAAATCAACAAAATATTTTATTGTAGTAATGGTATAGAGGAGCCTTTAGAAGAATCCTCTCATGAACCTGAACCTGAGCCAGAATCAGAAACAAAGACTGAAGAATTGAAACCACAAGTGGAGGAGAAGAACTTAGAAGAATTAGAGGAGAAGTCTACTTCTCCTCCTCCAGCTGAACCTGTTTCTCTGCCACAGGAACCACCAAAGGTTAGATCAGAGGAACTCTTTAGACCTATAACATAACACTTTAATATTTGGTGCCATTAATGAAGCATGATCTTTGTTCTATTATATTAAATTGTTTAACATAGTAAATTATGCTTTTTTTATGTATATGAGAGAAGCCGTGGGGTTTTTTGTAATCCTGAGGAAATTTCATTGTATTCCCCCCCTCAAAAAAATACCCCTAAGAGTGAAATTTGTGGTAAATCCTTGTCTGTATGCAGTGTTTAGTATCTTACATGAAATTGTTCGAGTCCATGTATAAAGCTGAGAATTGCTCTTTCATTCTGTATTAAGTCCTCTATGCACAGATGCAGCAGGAGTCATGCAATTTCCCAACTTAAGCAAGTTGGCCTTGTATTAAAAGAAGAGATACTTGTTATTTCTGGTTTAAATGGGAACAATTTCCTTACTACACCAATTCAACTATCTTGGAAAGATGAGTGACACCCATAGTGTATCATTTAAGCCTACCTAAAACATCTTTTATCTTTCTGTAAAGTAGAAGGTTAAAGTATATTTGGGTAGTGAGAGGAGGAGATTCCTTGTTCAATTCGTGAATGTCTGTTAAAGTTTCCAGCTAGTACTCTCTTCTTTCCTATCCTTCCTCTCTCCCCTTAACACCATCATACACCCTGTTTTCCCCCAAAAGGGGAAAGAAATTGGTTTTATTAGGTTCTTATTTTTCTAGCATGTGGAGTTGTTAGTGGTGTTGTTTGCCACTTGCTCATCTACTTAGAGCATACAGCTTGTGGATATATTTAGTAGTTCAGACAGAACAGTCAAATAATCTTGCGTAATGAGATTTTGAAAGCTGGCACATAGACTGGCATGTGTGTGTGTGCCTTTCTCTTAGGAGTCCTCCAATATAGAGCAATAGTTTAGAAATGAAAAGAATATATATATTTGGAAGTTTCCCTATAGGAATGTTGGTGGTTTTCCATGATTAGTAGTCTAGGTTTGTTGCATTTCCTGCAGGCTTTCTCCTGGGCTTCAGTGACCAGTAAAAACCTGCCTCCTAGTGGTACTGTTTCTTCCTCTGGAATTCCACCCCATGTTAAAGCACCAGTCTCACAGGTAACCAATCTGTGAACACATTGGATTGTATCCTTGTTACATTGCCAATTGCTTTATCTTTTTTATACTTTTTTAAATGAGTCAATCAGAAATTATGGATTTAAATATACCAAAAAAATTGTATTAAATGTCAGTGCACCCACTTTAAATGCCAAATCTCCATTCATCATCTACATAGGTGGTATTTGGGGTTTGGGTGTGTGAAATAGATTAAGTTGGTTTTTCCTATATATATATATATATATATATATATATATATATATATATATAATTGTCACTTAAAAGGCTTCTTAAAATAACCAAAAAAAAGTTCTTTTTAAAAAAATTATAAATTTTATTTAGCAAAAATACCTTAGGCAAGAAATTTGGAAAGTCACAAAGTAGTGTGGCATTATAAAGTATCATTGATTTAAAAAAATAGAAAACTTAAAAAAATACACTGCCTAAGCTCTCAGTCTATAAGTGGTTCACACCGTTTAATTGAAGCCTGTACCAACTTATGACTGTAGTGTTCACCTTAACTGATTATTCTAGTATTCTGCTTTTTGTCTGTTTGTCATCTTACCCATTTCAGAGCTTTCAAAAACATTGAAACTAAGACACTGGCTACCTAATATGTTTATTAGGTATAGTTTAGAATTAACTAAATTCTAATTAAGTTTATAGGCATAGTTAAAGGGTGTCTGATTTTTTTCCCTAAATTTTGCATCAAACTTCATTAGAAAATTTACATTAAAATTTTTTAGTGAACATAAAATTGTTTGTATACACCTCTTACATGCTCTAAACGGTGAAACTTAGAGGTTTCAAAAGTAGGTAGTAATTATTAGTCTTTCTGGTGTTGGTACACATTATCAGCTATGTAATAGTATAACACATGGCCTCATAATACCTGTTATTTTTCATTAGATATTCAGGAAATGTTGAGTAATTACTTCATATTACAAACCAGAGTTCTGTCTTAATGAAACAAATTAATTTGCTAAATATTGATTAATTTAGCCCATCTGAAGACCTGATAAGTGACTTCTGTATTTTCTTTTGAAGATTTCAATTTCTTATCAGATTTACGTTTGGAATCCTTTGGACTGTTATTTCATTTCAGAGAGTTGGCTACACTTACTTTAAACTAACTGCTAGTTACAAGTTAAAATAGCTAATGTTTATTATGCCTTTAGTACGTGCCAGGCATTGTGCAAAGCACTTTATATTCATTCTCATCTAATCCTCGCTACCACCCTGTGAGGGTGGTTACTATCATTATTCCTGTTTCACAGTTAAGTAGATTGAGGCCTAGAGTACCTCACCTAAGATGAGACAGCTATATAAATACTAGAGCTGGGCTTTGAATTCATGCAGTTGGACACCAGAATCCGTATGTGACTCATGCAAACCCATAGGTTTCTTTAGCCCTCTGGAGGGGAATGTGGCACTGTTTACATCAAAGAAGAGTACTACTATATTTAAGGCATTTCTAAATTATATTACATTAAATCCTAACCTCTTGCTCAGGAAAAAGAATTTTTTTTGTTTCGATGTTATTTTTTTGAGTTGTAGGAGACTAGATTGTATTTCCCAACACACACCCTTATTAAAATAAAATTTTGAAACGTTTATACTGTAAACTTTAATAGAACTTTCTGATCTCTTTAGGCTGTATTTAGAATGGATTTATCGTTTTCCCACTTGATTTAATAAACCCTTCAATTTTATTTTGTTACTTTGGTGTAGTATCCATTTTCTTAACACTTCTAGCATAGATTATTAATAAAAGGAGAATTAAATCTAATTTCTAGGTTATTGATAGGCATTAATTTAGAAGTAGGTAAATTAATTTCTTGGTAAAAAGATTTTGTCTGGAAATTGATTAGTGCATCCAATAGCTTATGTTCAGTTGAAGGACTTGTGGTTTTACCTGCTGTATTGACTTGACTTGATGGTTTTGTTTTTATTTCATTTTCTGTTTGACCTTCATTTGTGGGATTTGTCACATGGAGCACACTTTCTGGTTGCATCGAATTAATTTTAAGGCCCTAAAGTAGTATGTGGTATATTAGCCATTTTATCTCATTGGAGTAAAGAGTTTCAGTCATGAAATTGCCTGAAGAATTAGGAGTTCACAGCTGGCTTAGTTGATGTATATTAATCAGTTATTGAAAGGAATATTGTTATATTTTTGGTCTCATATTTTCTTTACATTGGCATCATCTACTAAAAGTTAGGTTGCTAAATCAATGTATGAATTATTTGTAAGATGTCATAAATTATTTAAATTTGTTTTTAATTTTAAATCCTTAAAGGATAGTGAAGAACTTTTGTATTTTGCCTCTTGTAGTTATTTTGGTGTCAGTAATCTGTTGTGAAAAGAATTTGAATCAGTCAGCCAGGGCATCTCAAGTTCTTTGGTAACATTTGGATTGAATGAGGTTTTTGTAAGATTTTTAAATTAAAAGGTACATTTGCTATTTTCATTAATTTCCTAAACATTACTAGCTTCATCAAACTTTGTTAGAGTACATCTATTCTTTAATTCTGTTTTGTAATCATAGTGAAATAAGTTGTGCTCTTAGGCCCCTTTAGTTGAAATTTGTAAGTAACTGCCTTTTTCAGGCATCACATTTTGGGTCAAATTATCATGTAGTGTTAAACTCCAAATACGGTTAGCACTGGTGTCAGGGCTGTAACTTAGGTCCTTTTGTCACGCATAGAACATTCTTCCACATGTTTTGGGTTAGAGGACTAAAAATGTAATTTAATTTTAAATGACTGAACATCTCTATCTAACTTGTGCTTGGTTCTTTGGGTGGTATAGAAATGAATTAAGATATAGTCCTTATAGGAATATGTATATGTAAATGAAAAACTGGAGCGAGTTAAAATTTTTTATTTGTTTAACTAGCAAAATTCTAGAACATGGCAAGCAACCTCATCTTGAGGGAAATGGGAAATCTACATGGAAGAAAACAGAATTTGGGAAGAGACAGGCAAATCTGTTAAAAACTGCTAGGATAGGAGTTGATATACCTTTTTGTTACAACGGGTGAAATCATTTACGATAAATTTCATTTTTGAAAGAAGCATAACTCTGTATCAAAAATTTGTCTCTGCAAATTATAATACCTCAATTATATAAATGATGAAAGAGTTTGAGCCACTGCCTGGACTGAGGTCCTCAGAGATGATCAGCCATAAAGACAAGACTGAAATTACTAGCTCTCTGACTTGAGGACGTGTTCTTCATATCCTGCTGAGTGTTTCAGCATCCTTTGAAGGTGCATGTATTTTGTCTCTTCCTTGGACCGTAAATATTTGGGCAGTAGACAGCCTGAAGAGTTTGGGAATACTGAAAATTCCATTGTATTAAGGAAAAGGTAATAGCTGATGAGGATATTGTTTTGTTTTAAAAATATTTATTTTAATTATATGTGTCTAATTCAGCGGTTAGCAGAAACTTTTGGAAGACATCTTAAAATGTCCTATTACTCCCCCTGCTAACCTGCAAGAAGCAGTTAAGGAAAATTGTTGGGGTTAGTACTTAAATAAATGCAAAGCTTTCCCATAAGGAAGAACAATAGGGAGCTAAAGGACTTCTTTAACTGTTTGAGATGCTGTATACACATTCCTATCTTGTTTTTTTATGTGCATTTTAACTTAAAGGTAGTACTTTTAGGTGCTCGTGTAAGCTAAATTGTATGTTTTGAACTATGAAAATACTGATTTTTACGATGTATTTATGTGGCAGGGTTTAGAAGATATTGCTGAGCAGTATTACATTTGAAGGGCAGCACACTAGATAATTAGAAAGTATGTCATATATTCTTATCTTCCTAAGATAAGAATGGCTTTTTATATTGTATATGTATTTACATGGAGTGGCTCATCTTGCATTTTTGTAGCAATGCCTTTTATGCTGTCTCTATGTGGATGTAATTTTATTGAAAAAATGTGGTTGTATAAAGCAGCCTATTGTGAGTTATGTAGCCTTGAGGGAAAACAAAACCTACCCTACAGTCCTAGATTGGTACAGAATATCTTTAAGAAAATTTATTTTTCACATACATAGGACACTATGTTAAAAACAGTATAAACTTAAAATTACCATTATACCTGCCAGTGACTTGTTGGTAGTTGCTTTAGTTGGTTTTTCTCCTGTGGGATGTGCTTGTTTATAGTGTATTTTTTCCCTTGTATTTTAGCCGAGAGTTGAAGCTAAACCAGAAGTTCAGTCTCAGCCACCTCGTGTGCGTGAACAACGACCTAGAGAACGACCTGGTTTCCCTCCTAGAGGACCAAGACCAGGTGAGTCAGGCTGCTCTGTAGCCTTTAGCACTTGAAAAATTGGAAAAGACTGAGCTTAAAAAAAAAAAACACTATAATGTGTTTTATACACAAATCCTTTTAGTACCACCTTGCTTAAAGGTTTAAATAACTTGCTAAAATACAGTCTGGAACAAAACAACTGACTTTTAGGGGAGGATTAGTTGACATGCCATAGAGACATGCATTTTCAAGGTATAAATGAATTCGAGACAAATTTTATTTGGTTATTGTCACTGGTTCTAAGAATTCAAAACCAAGCTGCCAATAACCTACTCTCTTACTTAGCACTCTTATCTCTTCACAGATAAACAATAAGCACACCCTGATTCTTCTTATTTTGATTGTCTTAGGTATTAAGTAAGTTGCCATGATTTTTGACTTGTTTCCATTGTTAGCTAATATATGTAGCACCTCTATTTGAATTCTGTAAGTGTTTAGATTGCTTTTGGGAGGAGGTGGGAGATAGTATACGTCAAATTAAAAATATGTTATTTTTCCCACAAAAGTAAAATAAGTGATGTGTTACTAAACCAGAAGTCATGGGAGCTGGGGTTCATTTTAGCTCTGCCACTGATTGAGTTTATGATCTGAGTGACACCCTTAAATTATGAGCTTCTCTTATGCCATTCAGTACACAAATTTTTCTTGTGTGACTCCTTACTTATCTGCCTCACTGTGTTCCTTGTGTTCTTGGGAGGATCAAATAAGATTTTATATATATATGAGCACCCTAATGTGTATAAAAGGCTATATAAATGAGATATTTTTACTGTTAAATTTACTGTTAAACTTGTGAATTTCAAAATACTAAACAAATATTTAGTACAAATATACCTCACCATCTGAGATCTGTTTGGTTCCTGGGTAGATAGCAAAAGGTTGGTTTAAGGAGGAATACTCATACTACTAATATTTGACTTTCATGTAATCAGACCAGTAGATCTAGAAGAAGGGACTTTAGCAATCTAGTCAATAAATACCCTCTCTTCACACTTTGGTGTCGTGTTGTTTTCTAACTAACTTACTAGTAATGGGCACTTCTACCTCTGTTCAAGTAACTCACTATCTTATTAAACTAAAACAGGAATATCGATATTAAGTAATTTTTACATTTATTGCTTTGAACTAGTTTTTATATGATGTTGTAAACTTTAATAACGGCTTTATTCCTTTTTTCAGGCAGAGGAGATATTGAACAGAATGAATCTGACAACCGTAGAATAATTCGCTATCCAGACAGTCATCAACTTTTTGTTGGTAACTTGCCACATGATATTGATGAAAATGAACTGAAAGAGTTCTTCATGAGTAAGTGGTTTATTTTGCTTTGTTGTAAAATTAAGCAGTAGGAGAATAGAGCTTTTGTCATAATGTAACTAGAATTTTTTTAACGTTTATCTTTCTATATACTGTGTGTATCTTCAGGTACCAGTCACTTTAATTGATCAGAAGGGAGTAGAAGGCTATATTAGACGTTCCCCAGGGACTGTACTTAGTATTGACTGGCCTGGTTTTGTAGAGGTTAGAAGAAGACTGGATGAATCAGTCTTAAATTTGGAGATGGGATTCATTTGGCAAATACAAGTCAGAAATAGAAAATATCATTGTCGTTCTAAAATTATGCAGCTAACTTTCCTTTGAAAAGACTGATAAAGATGCAGAAGGGTAACAAAACAAGCAGGCAGGCTAGTTGTTGGCACCTTAGGTGAACAACCTATATGAGTGAATGTACCTTAGTTGTTAGTGGGTGTAGCAGCTTGCCCCTTTTATTTTGAAATGAATCAAGGAGATTAAGGTTATTCACCCTGAAAATTAAAGCCACAAAGTAGTCTGTTAAAATATTTAACCTTGGTGTAATGTATATTTTTGCAGGTTTTGGAAACGTTGTGGAACTTCGCATCAATACCAAGGGTGTTGGGGGAAAGCTTCCAAATTTTGGTTTTGTGGTTTTTGATGACTCTGAACCAGTTCAGAGAATCTTAATTGCAAAAGTAAGTGACTCAAAGGACATAATTCAAGGCTTTATTATTCTTATTGTATATAATATTAATTTGGTGCATTTTAAAACCATAAAAAATCTTTTTTTAATGGTAAAGCTAAAAATAGTTCACTATGAAATGGTATTTATGCAAAGAATATAGATTTGTTAGTAGTATTGAAGTCTGAGGTGCAGATCATTTTAAATTTCATTATTTGTTCTAGTGAAGAAGGTTGGAATAGATTGCATATTAAGAATTTTGTGAAATTTTTTTTGTTTCTTAGGATTTTCTTCTCATGTATGCAAGGTAATACATTCCTATTGCTGTCTAACCTGCCCATGTAAATCTTTTGTCCACTTTTAAAGCCAATTATGTTTCGAGGAGAAGTACGTTTAAATGTGGAAGAGAAAAAAACAAGAGCTGCAAGAGAGCGAGAAACCAGAGGTGGTGGTGATGATCGCAGAGATATTAGGCGCAACGATCGAGGTCCTGGTGGTCCACGTGGAATAGTGGGTGGTGGAATGATGCGTGACCGGGATGGAAGAGGACCTCCCCCAAGAGGTGGCATGGCACAGAAACTTGGCTCTGGAAGAGGAACCGGGCAAATGGAAGGCCGCTTCACAGGACAGCGTCGCTGAAGCTCCACTGTTGGCAAAGTTTTGGCAGTGGTACATTATTCATCGTGTTTGCATTCTTGTTAATTTTTTTTTGGCTTTGGAATGTGACACAGCCTTTTTGATCATTTCTTTGATGTGAAAAGCATCTTTTGGTTATCAGTTAAATTGAGGTGGACGTTATTTCCCCAATTTCACAACAGGATTCACATTGTTAATTTATAAATCTAGACTTGGAGAATTAAGGACTGAGAAATGACCATATCTTAAACTATCTACAACAAAATGAACTTAAAAGGACATGCCCAACTGAATTCAGGTCCTTTGAGTCAAAAAAATCCTCTGCTGCACATTTTGTTTAAGTGTTACTGTTTCTGCCTATTAATGTTGGAAACACAAATAGTGCAATTTGTGCAATTGGAGAATCTTGCCTTTTTTCTTGGCTCCCCCCAAAAATACAAACCAACAGAAACTTGTTATGCACTCATCAAAAATGCACTAATGGGTACTCTGAACTCATTAACATTGACATCTGCAACAGGAAGCAAAAGGGGAAAAAATCTTTCATCTTTTTTTCCAGTAGAGAATAGTTTGTGAAATGATGAGGGCATTTTATCTGCTTGCTGTGACCAGCGTGTGTATACATAAACCTTAACAAGACTACAGTATATTCCAGAAGGAAATCATTTAGTTATGAACTAAATAACAAAAATCAGAACTTCAAATGCTATGGTCTTGAATATTAGACCAGATTTAGTAGCTCCATATCTAAGATTTTTCTACCTGCCCCTCTACAGTACAGGGATGGCTGGCTGCTCAACACACTCCTCCTCCCCTTTTTCCTTTCTTTAAGCTGTGTACAGTGAAAATTGTCTTTACTGTATTTTTGTTCTCTGGTAATGTAATAAGCATGATGGTGCCTTCTATTAATACATCATTCCAGTCTTGCTGGTAATTTTGTACAGTATAGTGTATGAATTGCTGTGCTGCAAAGCCAAACAGCTGCAAAATGTTGAAGAATCATTGAAGTGCATAAAAATTGCAGTATCTTTAAAATCAGTAAAATTGACTAGCATATTATTTATCTTGTTCTTCAGTTAACAACTTTATGTTCTCTGTGGGAGGGAGTCTTGTGTGTTTGGGAGGGAGAGAAGGAGGAAGTCAGTTTTTTCAGTAAGTCTCTTGTTGACTTTTCTCTTAGCATGAATGTGAACGTTGAAGTGTTACCACTTGAGAGGTGCTTGGAAAAGTCAATCAACTTGATGTACCTTTTTAGTAACATTTTTAAAGCAGTCAGATTCCATAAATGGCAAGTAAACCTGAAGTGAGGATACTGCAATTTTCAGAGAAAAGAACAGCAGCTCTTAAGTGTTTGCGTTTTCTATTTGGGGGGCAGGGAACTGTCATTCATTTTGCACAATTCTTGAACTGATGTCAGCACCCGAGTGGCTCTGAATTTAAGTCTGGGACGACATCTTTTATTTTTACATGAATCTCTTAAACAATTCTGTGAGCAAAGTTTGTAGCTGCTGGATTGTCTTGTCTTCATAGCAAGTTCCAGTAAACCACAAGTATGGCAAAGGATATCCAATTTTATGCTTGGAGCATTTGGTACATACCCGTTTCTGATGTTTCAGGCTAGGAGTGAGGTAAATAAGTGTGACCACTTTAAAGCTGCTTGTTGGCATGGAAGACTTCTCCATTTTACCTTAGTAAAAACAAACAAAAAATGCACTTGACATAGTAGCAAACTGATTCTGAATTGTGAAACTGTTTGCTATTTAGTAAACTAGCAAATGATGCACATATTTTGTTTTTCACGTACTGGGCAATATAAGGAAAATTAAATCTGTCCTTTCTTCTTAAGTGAGGTCTTCCATGTTTGAGGAAAAGTCTTGCACTATTGCATATATTTGGGGGACACAGGTTTCTCATAGTTTCCATTTTTGGGGGCTTAAAGATTTTTTTTTTTTTTTCTGTTTGAAACACTTACACTTTCTGATGTATATGGGGGACACAGGTTTCTCATAGTTTCCATTTTTGGGGGCTTAAAGATTTTTTTTTTTTTTTCTGTTTGAAACACTTACACTTTCTGATGTATAGTACTTGAAGTTCTTACCAGAAAATTACTTTTGAGTTTTGAAGCCTTTATTCAAACTACTTTCAAATAAGTGGTTTATCGTCAGTGTTTTGTTTTTTATAGCATATTTTTCCTCTACTTTATTTCTTTCTCCTTCCCATTTTATATATATATATATATATATATATGTAAAATTTTCAATCCAGGATATTGCCCTGCACCTATGAAAACTGTTCTGGCACCAAAAGTAGTGACAAATGTTAAGTGTAATAGAAAATAAGAGCAAAAGAGCCATTCAGCTTCAGTCTTTACATACCATGAATAAGACATTAAAACATCATATGGAGAAGTTTACATGGTGATTGTTCACCTGCAGTACTGTGGACTTTTAACATTTTGTCCCCTTTTCAGTGAACCAGAGTAAGAATATTCATCTACCGTTACTGTTATTTGCTGATTTTTTTTTTTTTTTTTTTTTTTTTTGATGGTAATATTCTATCCTAATGACACTATTGCAACCAAATTGGCTTTACCATCTTGGCTTTAGTAGGTATAGAAGACAATGGATTACCATCTTTATTGCTGTAATGTGTTAAGCATTATATGCTAGTAGAATCTAGTTTCATTGTTTCAGGTGGAAAGTATTCTTTGAGTTTCCATTTTGAATGTGTTTGGACTAAACAAACAATAAACTACTGATGTCTGCAGCATTTATATCTATGTCCCTAATTTAATCTATAGGTTTGTGTTCCAAAATATTTTCTCCCAATTGCATTTCACACAACCTAAGGAAAAATAAGGAATTATTCTATAACCATCTGCTTGTTATTTGTGAAATTTGATGTATGAAAAAGTAAAACATTTAAGTAAAACTTGAACATTGTTAGAGATCCATTCCAGTTCAGTTAGGTAGCTGGTATACAAGTTAAAGAATGTTAGAGTAATAAGCAGTAAGGAAGGTGAGAATTATCTAAAGAAGTCTACTAAACGTTTATTTAAAAAAAAAAAATGTTGAATTTTCCAAAGGATTGCTACCTCATATCTCAGAAGGAAAAGAGAAAAGGGATGGGAAGATTGAGGTTAGCTGAAGTTATGGACATGACCCATTTCAGAAATTGGAACAAATTTTTCAAGTTCTAAAAGAATATTAAAGGAGAAATAATCATGTAGTCATATTTATGAATATATACTTCAACGGAAAAATGAGGTCCTGAGGCATATGTAATTTCAGAACTTGAGACTTTTCCTTCATTAAAATGGATGGTATAAATGAATTTTTTATGATATATTCATAATACTGTTTAGGAAGATTCCTTAAATCGGTCTTTACAAATTTGTACCTAACTCTATGGCTGTGGAAAAATATTTTTTAGAGGGGATAAAATGTATATGCCACACTGTATTGAAAACAGAACCAAATTTGAAGGAGCAAATTATCATTTGGTCTGGGAAATTTATATGGAGCAAAATATTTGAAAATTTTAGCCACACAAGATGTTTCCTTTCTATTATAGTCTTTGTAGCAAGTGAATGAAAATTTAGTGGATAGATATCCATATTTTTCCTTTAAATTAGGACACCTTGCTCATCATAGTTTATATTTTAATTACAGATGAATAAAGACCCTTAATTTTTCTTTTTTTTGTATTCTGTGTTCATAAGACTTTTTTTTTTTTTTTAAACTAGGGTTTTTTAAATTATTATTTAAGTTTATTTTTTATTTTTATTGTGAGGAAGATCAGCCCTGAGCTAACATCTGCCAATCCTCCTCTTTTTGCTGAGGAAGACTGGCCCTGGGCTAACATCCATGCCCATCTTCCTCCACTTTATATGGGACGCTGCCACAACATGGTTTTGACAAGCAGTGCGTCAGTGCCCGCCCGGGATCTAAACCGGCAAACCCCGGGCTGCAGCAGTGGAGCGTGCGCACTTAACTGCTTGCGCCACCGGGCCGGTCCCTATAAGACTTTTCTAATTATTTAGTAGTAGACTGTTTTGATCAATTTGATGCTAGAGTTAGAAATTATTTAAAGTTACTGAATAAATGAATAATCTATTACATCATGAAAGAAGTTTTCCTTTGTGATAGATTTCAGTAGGTTCATGTAAAGGATAACTATTTAAAATCATTTGTATCATTAAGTCAAATAATTCCTAAGTAATGAAGTTTCTGGATATTTTTGACAAAGAGACTGAAATCTTCAAATCTGTTTATGTAGTATATATACATTATGTTTAACGTGCTTCAGAATTAATAGGAAACAGTCTTTTTAGCATTACCAAATAAATGCTGGGCAAAATACTATAAATGCAGGTTTAGAATTAAACATTCACAGAAAGATTACTACTCTGCTATTAACTGCCAAATTAACTGATCATTTTCTCTTTGATTTCTAAGAGTTTTGATAAAGCTGGCTGCCTACTTGGAATGCTTTCACTTAATGTGACAATAATATTCTTCTAACTGCTTCTGTTTTCTGTGCTTGCTCTGATCACCTCATAACCTCTCTAATTCCCTTCTTTTTTTTTTTTTGGGAGGGAGTTTAGCCCTGAGCGAACAACCATGCCAATCCTCCTCTTTTTGCTGAGGAAGACTGGCCCTGGGCTAACATCTGTGCCCATCTTCCTCTACTTTATATGGGACGCCGCCACAGCATGGCTTGCCAAGCAGTGTGTCGGTGCGCGCCTGGGATCCGAACTGTCGAACCTGGGCTGTGACAGTGGAGCGCAAGCACTTAACTGCTTGCGCCACCAGGCCGGCCCCCTAACGCGTCTCCTTTAAAAATCCTTTTTGCCACATCCCCTTTTGAAGTCCTAGATAATTCAAAATTCAGAAGTTCAAAACAATGTGTGTTCTCTTTCTAAGTGATTTACATACACCTGGCTCTCTAATAATGAACATCTCTATTTTTCTGACCTATTTAACCTAGAAATGTTTGAAATCTTGTCTGTTCTCAATATTTTCTCTGTTTCCCTCCTCCCGTCCATTTTTCAGACTGTGAGAAGACTTGTTCATGCTATTGTGATTCATTTCCACGGGCTCATTCAATTCATTAACTGTTGAGCTTCTAAGTGCCAGGCAGTGTTCTATGTACTATTGATAAATGGTGAATTAAACAAGGTTCCCTGCTCTTGGGTTAAAAAAGACTGAAACTATGGGGAGAGTGAGTAGGTACAGATTTTTTTTTTTGTAACAAGATCAGCCCTGAGCTAACATCCATGTTAATCCTCCTTTTTCTGCTGAGGAGGACCGGCTCTGAGCTAACATCTATTGCCAATCCTCCTTTTTTTCCCCAAAGCCCCAGTAGATAGTTGTGTGTCATAGTTGCACATCCTTCTAGTTGTATGTGGGACGTGGCATCAGCATGGCCGGAGAAGGGGTGCGTAGGCAAGCACCCGGATCGGAACCTGGGCTGCCAGCAGCGGAGCGCGCGCACTTAACCGCTAAGCCACAGGGCTGGCCCGTAGGTACATATTTAAGAAGGTAGGTAGGGGGCAGACCATGAAGGGCCTTGTTGGCCTTAAGGAGGTTGGTCTTTATCCCAAGAGCAATGGGAAGTGGGAGGTTTTGGTGGGGGGGGGGTGTAATTCCATTTTAAAATGTCTCTGGCGGGCCGGCCCCGTGGCTTAGCGGTTAAGTGCGCGCACTCCACTGCTGGCGGCCCGGGTTCGGACCCCGGGCGCGCACCAACGCACCGCTTCTCCGGCCATGCTGAGGCCACGTCCCACATACAGCAACTAGAAGGATGTGCAACTATGACATACAACTATCTACT